TTGCTAAGCTAAACTGTGAACTGTAGAGCAAAGCGGGGATACAGGGCACCCCAAGCTGTTCTGAATTGAAGTAGTTTTTGGTTTGCACCTGCGATTTTTCAGATGGCTGAATTTTTCATGCTCAACAAAAATACTCAGTGAAAAGCAGGGTTCTTATGTAAGAAAAAGACTGCGTCAGAAAAAAAAGATGATCTGCCAGTACAACTTTGATGGAAATTTCTCAACAAATCAATAAACCTGATACCAAGTAAGAGAGCTGTATGTAATTATGCATTATTTCTTAGCAAGCGGTGAATATATGAATACATGAAGTAATAAGGAGTTTACAGAGGAATAAGAAGAGGTTACTAAAAGGATTCATGTTATACCTCGGTCAGACCAGATGTGGTTTGTTGCTCCTCACACAGTTTGCTCCATCTCGCATCATTTTTCTCAGCAGAGTGGTCCAGCTGAAATCCGTAAGATTATTGGCAGGAGAAAGCATCATGTGTCCAGTGCCTGGGAGCGTACTTTCAGGAGTGTATTCTCTGATGGAGAAAGGGTTTCAGGAGAGTCCCAGCACCTGTGTCAGGGTGCTGCATCCCTCCTGCACCTTGCATCTCCCTGCCTCTCAGCGCTGGTCCCCGCAGTTGTTTGTGGAGCTGTGCTGTAAACTGAGCTAGAGAAACTGCCTCTGCAAAATATGAGGCCAGGGGTTTGTTCAGTTTTTTTTTAAAAAAAAAAAAAAAACAAATGTGAATCATGTCACTGATATGACTTTATGGAGAGCTGTACAAGCAATAAAATTAGCATGCTGAGGAGGATCAAGGTGGTGGTAGGCAGAGTCCTCTTTGGTCAGGCTTGGTGCTGAGGAAATGCTGGGGTGCAGCTTCACGCTTGATAGAAACAGCAGATTACAGCATCCTTCGGCTGTCATCCTCCATATGTTTTTTAACTGTTTGGAGCTGCTCAGTGGCCAGATAGCTGGACAAACTTATAATTTCTTTTAACTTGTGCCAGAAAAGCAGCAGTAACTCATACATGTAGCGATGGGAGCAGTGAACCTCCCAGTCCAGGGGCTAGTAAGGGCCACTACGGTATGTCAGCTGGCCTGTCTGGGGAAAGAGGACAGCTTGTGGGTTTGATTTGCAGCTTTTGTTTCCCTTCTCATGCTTAAATACTTTTCTAATTATTGCTAGGAGAGCGTTAGAAATTTAGTTTCTTCGTCAAACATCGTAGGACGTAAAAACCATCTTGATGAGCCGCTCGCTCGTAGAGAGTGAACCAAACTGCTTGGTGACTCTGAGTGCTCCTCTGCCTCCCAAAAGGCAGCTCAGAAGCAAAAGGCCATGTTCAGGATGAGTAAATACGCCTTTGTTCGGCCTTTCTGGTGTCACGTCAGGTTGCCCTCCCTCGTGCTGTGCATCACTGGCAGAACCGCAGGGTTGAAGCTGAAGGAGTATTTGCACAATGCTGGTGTTCCCCATCCGCACCAGGGACCCTGGCTTCCCTGGCGTTAGGTGGCCAACTCTTTGATGGAGACCTGTTCAGCCCAACAACCATGGTCGTACTCGGCTGCTGAGTAAATCACCGTTAGCTGTAATGAGATCTAGACATCCAGCTCAAATCAAGGCACCTGCATTGAAGTGCTGGCAGTCTGGATCTAAATCCTGTGGCTTGCGCTTTGCACCAATATAAAAGTTTCTATTTTAAATGTCAGTTTTACTTTGAAATTTTTTGAAAAGTTGGTGAAAGAAAATTCTGGTAGTAACTTAAAACCAGAACCCTCAGAATATGTAAAAATACTGTCATAAGCGGCATTGGGTTTGTGGTCAAGCGTCTCATATTTTTCCAGTGAGAAACCTTGTGTTGCAGAGTGTCTCCATGTGTTCTTCCCTTGCGGCAAATCTCTTGTCTGTGCACCTTACTTTAGGCATTTCAGTATCTCCATTGATGTGACGTAGCATTCCTGTATTCTGCTTTAGGGCTTTTCTCTGTTGAAAACGTGGAGCTAATTTCCTACTTTACTGGTGAGAAAATGTACTTCCTGAGTCCAGGCTGCTCTGTGGTCTGCCCGGTTATCAGGTTGTTTTACGTGGGAGCTCTACATTTTTGCCCATTTTGCAGGAGAGATTTAAACGGCTGAATTAGTGATGGGAGAGTTGTCTTCTGCTATCCCTTTCTTGAGCCATCAAATGCTCCTCCATGAGTACTGTACTGTGGCCAAGGTCTGTGTCACAGTGTGGAAAGGTCTGTGTTACAAACTACATCTGAGCCTTGGAAGGTTTGAGTTTGTAAACTAGATTTAAGTCACTTCAGTTACTTAGCCCTTTTCCGATACTGTTTTTAATGTGAAGAAAAAATCCTTTGCTTAATTCTTTCACTGGAAAGGCAATACTGACTTGAATCAAGTTTTCTGAAATAAATTTTTGCTCTTTCTGCCTCTGCACCTCACGGTTTGTAGAGAAATACAGAATTTGGCCCATTAACTTCAAAAGAAGTTCTGGTTTCGGTACACTTTAGTACTGGATTGCAGCATTTGTTGGAGTGTGTTCTGACAATCCGTGCTTGTAAACCGAACGGACGAGGCAGTTTTACCGTTTCAGGAGGCAACGCCCGTGGCGTTTTGAAAACTGATGTGTGGTATCAGTGTAGCTTCTTCTCAGCTTAGATCTAGAAAGGCTGGTTTTAGTGGACATGCTGATGGAAGTGAGAAGTTACTGTTTGGCGGAAAGAAGTATGGTATAAAAAAGGAACAAGAGGAAAGTCCCTGTGCAGTCCTTCCTTTTGACTCTGTTACAATCTGCAGCACTTCATTTGGGTTTCCTCTTTATCTCTGTATTACTGCCTGTTTGTGATCCCAGTATGTGTGTCTATAGATAAGTACGTGTTCATTTATTACAACAATTGAAATTTAAAGCTAGTTTTATAAACCTAACCATTATCCAACCCTGCCTAATCAATATTAAGAGCTTGTTTGGGTGTTCACACTCCTTTTAATGAAAAGAAGTTGAGCAAGACAAACTGTAGCTTTAATTTTCAGTGCCAGAGAAGGTCACCAAGTGTGGGAGGAAGCAGCAAAACACAAGCCCTGGAAATACTGAAGGCTGAAGCAAGGAAAAGGGTCTGGCAAAGGTTTTATTTAGGGAGCTAGGGCTTGCCAGAGGAATGCTTCAGCCTTTTGTAAAATGTCCATCCATCACTCAAGTACTGTTCATGAAAAGTAAAATGTGATGTGCCTCACTGAAGGAAGCTCAGCTTGTGCATCTGCAAGTTTCAGATACAACTGTAAGCCCCCAGTTTGCAACACTTACTCTTGAACTCTTTCCAGATATTTCTTTTGTAATATTATCTCTGTCTGTAGCAGTCCGGATGGTTCTCTGCGTTTGATGTAGGTAATACTGCAAATAACAAGAAAATAACTGTTGTGATTCATTCAGCACTTGAAATACCTCTGTGCTTAAAAAAATTCTAGTCATGGTAAGGTCCTCTGGTCAAGGAAAGGCAGCTAGGCCTTGGGAAGCAATAATTTTCACTTCATATCTTTACTCTGGCGTTTGGTTGCTAATTGTATTTTCAGTGTTATACAAAGTACACCTTTATTCAACGTGAAATGTTCTATTTTTTATTAGCACAGTATTTTTACTCATTCATTAGGGCCAGCTTTTTTAATGACAGGTGAGTAAGCTAATGCACATTGCCTCCACTTTCATCCTCAGTAAAGACATGCAAAGAAATTGTTTCCTTGGGATTGTAATTTTTGGCTTACCCTTTTTTTTTTAAAAAAAAAAAAAACAAAACATTTTTGCAAGTCTTGTAGCCAACATATGTAGTTCAGTTTTTGCAGCAGTGAAGCAGTTGTACTATGTGGTTTCTAACCTGAACTGATGACAATGTGTAGCCGTGCCATCCCAGAACAAGCTGCAAGAAACACTGTCAGCAACAGTACAGTCCCCTGTTTTCCTAGCGGCATCTTGCAACCCAGTTTAGGATGACCCTTTTTAGAGGGACAGCCATTCTGTGTGAGCACACATGCTTCCATTGCGCTCATCTGTTTGATTCAAGCACCAAAAGAAACTTCCTGCTGCTTGTGTCTGGGTGTTGCAGTTGTACTCAAGTACGTTATTTGAACAGTGCCAAGCTGTTTGCAAGTATACCTTGGAGACAAGGACAGTGAAAATATTCTGCAGGAGACTCTGAGGTTTCGAAAAGTGCTTTGTATGACTGTTGCATACTGCTTGGGAGCCAAAACTTGATCAAATGAACACAGCTGCAAAAACAACCCTTCAGTATTTTGCTCCTATGCATACTATATCCCTACCACTGGACCTGACCCAGCAGGACAAATCAAATCCCCAGATTTTATAAGTCAATCCCAGACAGGGACTTACGGCTGGGGTTTCTGAAGCAGCTACAATGAGCAAAGAGGATATTGCACTCTTTGCATATTTTCAGTTTTCACATTCAGTTTTCTCCCTGACCATGGATATTGCAAGCAACTACATCTGTCCTTTCTGGCAGCAGGAGGTGGACAGTTTGGCCAGGGTGTCAAGGACAAGCTTTTCCTTGAGGTGCTGAGGTCTTGCAGACACAACCCTTCTTGCATTCTTGGAAGGATGGTTTGCCCACTGCCAGGTATCTTTTGGAGGCATCAACTACTGTTTCTCACTTTGGCTTTCTCCTGACTGAATGATTCTGTCCATCTCTGGCATTAGGGTGCTGGAAAATGCATCACCAGCCTTGTTAGAGGGGATGTAAAGCTATGAAGTCTGCTCCTAAAGTGGATGCTGACCTGTTGCTGTAGGTCGTCTTACTCGGGATTTCGTTGAGCGTCCCGTAAGCTGATCAGTGAAATTCTGGCAGGTGTCACTGCTATACTACCATAAGTCATGTAGTCAAGAGGAAGAGCTGAAAGTCTGGTCCATTGTGATTGACTGCTAATATGTCTGGCAGATGTTCCTTGTTCCATTAAAAAGAAAGTGTTTTTTTGTTTTTTTGTTTTGTTTTTCCCTCCCTCTTAGGTGGAACGTATTGGGTATTCAAGGAGCCTTACTTAGCCTCTTTGTGGAGCCAATTTACTTCTCTAGCATCATCTTGGGGAGTTTATATCATGGGGATCATCTATCCAGAGCCGTATACCAGAGGATAGCAGAGATAGAAGATCTACCACCTCTTTATACACTCAACAGACCTTTACTTAGTGGCAAGTATCTAATGGAGAAGGCCGTGCCGGTAACTAAGTCTGTTCCAGTAGCAATGTGATTTTTGCAGTTCTCAAAACCTCGCAAATCATGTACTGTGAGTAAAGTGCTTTCTGATTACAACAGAGAAGTTATGGGCTAAACCTAATGTAGATACTCAGTCAGAAGTACCATAGCAAGGATCCTTCATTGAGTTAAAAAGCATAAAGAACTAAGGGTATGAACCTTTGGATGCCGTTTCATGTAATTGCTGTTTGGAGCATACCCTAGCAATGTGTGAGGCAAGTTGAAGACTTCCCCAGTTTAGTGAAACCTCTTCCCACCCATGCAATAGCGTGTTAGCTCTCACCATCACTTCTCTTGCCATTGCAGATATTTGTTGAACGGCCACATCATTAATCAGTATGCCAAGGCAGACACACGGGGTTCACAATTTCTAGATCAATAACCAACTAAAAATGGATGGAGAGAACATCTCAGCTGCCATTGGTTGTATTTTCCTTTTGTCATCTCTGTTGGATGCAGCATTGGCTTTAATTAGCATGGCACCCAACTTGTTTGCATGACCCAATAATCATAAATATTTTAATTTCTACTTTGCAGGTTAATGCACAAATGCTGCATTCAGAACCTGGTGGCACATTCTTTGGGAATATTTTTAACAGAGAATTAAATATATCTGACAGCAACATGGCAAGCCCCAGCTGGTGTAGTTAGCGGTTGTCTTTTGCGGGTGCTGGTGAACATTTAAGTCCTGTTCTTTGGCTTTGCGCTGATCCTAGGCTTTAGTGAGGCTAAGAGGAATGGCAGTATTTTAATTAACAGGTCTTAACTTCTAATTGAGCCGTGACTTTCAAAGGAAAGTTTTGAAGTGTCTTAAATTCTAAAACTGCTGGTTGCAGTAATGCTGTGAAAGCTTTAAAACTGAAATCTCTTATCCTCCCTCTCATGTGTGCATTGCTTTGGTCTGTAGAGCTTGGCTTTTGGCATGTGTCTATTTATTTTCCAGGGGAAAAAAAAAACACTTTAGTATTTTAAAGCATGAATTTTTGTTTGACATGAATTTTTAAAACAGATTTAGGGAGGGAGTGGGGAAAACAGCCTATTGAACAACCAGCTTTTCTTTAGGCAAGAAAGGTAATTAGTAGGGATTTCCTGAATTAGGATGTATTAAAATGTTAACTAACATATTTCTCCTTATATTAGCAAGTAAGTAACACTTAAAACACTCAGAGCACCAAATATTAAATTGTTGTGTGGGCATAGCAGCTGATATATGGACTGCTTCTGCCTGATCTGGGGGAATTTTTATCAATTCCTGAAGACAGCAGGTTTGGGGTGGGGTGGGAGGGGCTTTTGTTATCCTTTTCACAACATATAATAGCACCTTGTCTTCTTAAGGATCATTTTTCTGTAATATTGATTTCATCTATTGGCTATGAAATAGCACCATCTGTTTCAACAGTTCAGCTGGGACTCGCTGAGCAGTAGAGAGAGTTCAGAAATGTTCTCAGCTCTTGGGTTTTCATGAAAATCCACGTCTTGGAAACGTAGGGGAAACTTGTTTGGGAGGTTGGGCGGAAACTTGATTGATTTTCTTCTACTGGTTCAGTCTTGAAAGCTAGTCTTTTGCTTTTGGATTGAGCTAGAGTATTTGTGTAGCTACTTGTCTGCTCTTGAATTCACACGTTTTTCAGTGTATTCTTACCTGGAATAAGCACCGCAGAAATACCTGTCCCCTATTCTGTGTTTGCCCCGGTACCATACACACAACTGTGTGATCATGACTCATATCTACCAGGGGGATGAACTGAAAGAGAAATAGCTGTCTTTTCCCATTGTCTCACCTGTTTAGCTGAGAAAGTACGGTAAAAACTTTTTTTTAATCTCATGAAACAAGTTTTATGTCTGCAGGGACAATTGCATTAAGTTATTGTTATCTGCTGCTAAAAATTGTCTTTTCATCATCTTTCTTTCCTCATAGGAGATTTTCTACTTATACCTCCTTTTGCCAGCAATTCAAATGTGAACATACATATCAGAGTAGCTGGTTTTCAGCTAGGGGATGTTGGAAACACATACGTTGGTGGAAAACTCCCTCCCCGTGCTGACTCTTGGAAGTCTTGGTTGCAGGACCCAGCCTTTCGGGATGCCTTTAGCTCCACAGCATGGAGGGGACGTGAGCTCCCACTGAGAATGGGACAGCTGACTTGAAGATAGGTTTGAATCTTGTGACTTTCTAGAATAATCGTAGAATCACAGAATGGTTTGGGTTGGAAGGGACCTTAAGGACCATCCAGTTCCACCCCCTGCCATGGGCAGGGACACCTCCCACTAGCCCAGGTTGCCTCATCCAGCCTGGCCTTGAACCCCTCCAGGGATGGGGCATCCACAGCTTCTCTGGGCAACCTGGGCCACTGCCTCACCACCCTCACAGGAAAACATTTCTTCCTAATATCTCATCTAAATCTCCCCTCTTTCAGCTTAAAACCGTTACCCCTCATCTTATCCCTCCACTCCCTGATCAGGAGCCCCCCCATCTCTCCTGTAGCCCCCTTTCAGCACTGGAAGGTGCTGTGAGGTCTCCCCAGAGCCTACTCTTCCAATTTTTTCACAACTTCTTCTTCAATGGAGACAGATAGTGTGAACCAGACTTCATCAGGTGTCTGTCCTTACTGTTCCTGGTGCTGGTAGGTATGCTCAGATGCCCTGAGGACCTGGGCTGATGATATCTGCTGGGGTATGCCTACAAAGCAGATGGCAGGCTGGACCCTGACCTGCTCTCCTGTCCGTGATGGCTACTCAGCTGAACTCCAAACCCTGCGGTAGTGTCTGCTTTCGTGGCCAATGCCTGTTTTCTTAGCTGTGATTATAATATTAAACAGGCAAAGTTTTCCCTGTTTTGCTGTCTGGTCAGTTGATACGTTCTTATGCTTTAATTTCTCTAGAGCTTCCCATCTCTTACCAGAGTATTGTCAGAAATGGCATTGTTGTTGGTTTTGACCCGTTCTTATTTTGGTTCTTGGATGAAACATGCTGGAGCAGTGTCAGATCTGCTGATTATCCTGTCACCAGCGTAAGAACTGTCTTAGGTAAGACCAAGATCTTAAGGTACGGTCTCTGTCTGGCCCAGTACTTGTTCCCACAGGTAGTTAGGCAGTGAAAAGCCAAAGGACACATTAAGTGTCTGCAGATACCTCCTGAGAATTGCAGCAGTCATCTGTGGATCAGGGACATCCCGAGTCAGGTATTCAGAATCTTTGTGTTTAGAAATCCTTAATAGATCTTTCATTCATGAAGTCCTGGTTTTCTTTTCAGAACTGATTTAAACTTCTTACCATCCGCAGCCTCCTTTAGTAAGGACGTGTAAAGATGTGTGCAGTGGAATTTACTTTCTGCTTGTGTCATTAGATGCTTTTCAGTGCTCTGTATGACACAGGCCATGAGCAGTTGTGTCCTGGTGCTTTTGTCATTGCCCTCAGAGTTGTGTACCTCTGCGATATTCCTACACGAGTCCTGGTTTTTGCAAGCTGAAAAGTCTTAGTCTGCTTTGTTGTTCCTTGCATGGAGACCCTTCCACGTAAGGATCATCCCTTCCATTCTACAGTCACATTTTCGAGCTAGTGAGACCAGAGCAGCACCTGATACTCAAGATAAAGCAGCAGTACTGGTTCCTGTGGTGGCATCATGATATTCTGTTCAGTTCCATGGGCCTTCAGTAAAAATTCCTAACATTCACTTTGCTTCCTTTGATTACTGTCCACCTGACCTTTTGGTAAAACTGAACATCAGAAACTAAAATCTCATTCCTGAACACTAATATCCAGCTCCAAGTCCAGCACTCCTTATGCAAAATTGCTTTTTTTTTCCCCCTCATACGTATTACCCAATATTTATCTGTGAGGAATTTCATCTGCCTTTTTATTGCCCACTCACCCGATGTTGTGAGCTGTTGTCTCTGCTGCTCTTTGCAATTGCTTCTCTTATTTACCTTCTTAAATAATTCAGTATCATCAACAATCTTACACTCACTTCATATGCGTATCCTAGAACTATTTTTACTGGCACCTCAATTTGAGATGGCTCCTCTGGCACGTTGCCTGTGACCAGGGCCTCTCGCCTGGGAACCCACCCACCCTTTTTGCAAAACATTCATTCGTTTTCTGTACACAAGAAGACTTCAGCCCCTGCAGCAGGAGTGGTTATTATAAATGTTTATGCCCCAGCACTCCTCTGACTGCTGTTGTCATTCGCTTTTAACAAAAATTTATTTGTAAAAAATAATTTTAATATTTTGTATTTCAATTTTATACATATTTTAATAATAAACATTTTAAAAATAAATATATATCTAATAGTGAAT